GAACGAATAGTTTCATAGTATTTGGGAGCTGAGTTGATGTGAGACATTAAATAGGAACAAATAGCTTAGACCAGATTGCTGGACGAAAAGTTGGATTTACTTCAAATTTTGGTGTGTCATGAAATCTCAGAACGGATACAGAAGGCTCGTCTAGCTTTCGCTAACTTGAGTCATTTATAGTGTAGGCGAGATATCTGTCTACTAACCAAATGACGGATTTACTGAGCAACAGTTCGTTCAGTCCTACTTTATGGCTGTGAAACATGGCCTGTAAGAGTAGAGGATATTCGTAGGCTACTAGTATTCGATCATAGGTGTCTTCGAAGCATTGCTCGTATATCCTGGGACCACCGGGTAAGTAATGCAGTTGTTAGGAAACGAGTGCTAGGTAGGGATGGCAAGTCGATTGATGAAGTAGTGAAACTTCATCAGTTGAGATGGCTGGGACATGTGTTACGTATGCCCGACCACTGACTGCCCCGACGTGCAATGTTTCATGGTGTAGGAGTAGGTTGGAAGAAAGCTAGGGGTGGCCAGACCAAAACGTGGCACAAATCAATGAAGTCACTGACAAGTGGACTGGGCCATGTTGGTAGGTGTAGACTATCTGGTTGAGATGATAGCAATCGATGGTTAGAGACCTTGAATGACATGGCTCAAAATCGTTTGCAGTGGAGAGGATCCATTCACTCTTTGTGTTCTACCAAATTACAATCTTCTGAATTCTTCATGTCTCTATCTTTTTTCTCTTTCCAAATTTATCTCACTGTATTATACTCCTTGAATAACATCTTCAAATCCTAATCTTTCACATAATGCTTATACTCTTACTACTTTTATCACTATGGGATTTGAATCGACAACTGCATCTGTGTGTTAATGTGGTATGGCAACTCGAACTGATGTACGTACGTACGAAGTTCTACGTTGTGACTGACTGACTTCAAATTCATTCCCTGAGGTTTTACAAATATATTCTTCTTATTTAATGTCTCAATAAAAGAATGTTATGAAATTCATTTATGATGAATACACTTTTGTTAATTAAACAATTGTGTCATTTATAAGCAAAGATGGATTGTGGCTGACAGTGGAATCCAGTTTGATGCACGTTTCATCTTATTTACGACTCGTCAACTGGATGTACCTACATTTCAAAGTATCATTTAAGATACAATCATTAAACTTTAAATATGAATTGAAAATATTCTAGTAGTGAATAGTCTAAATGAGAAGTGCTTTCTTAGTTGATGAAACTAACCCAACGTGGAATCGGATAGACTGTTTGTATAGACTCATTTATTAGTAGCATTATAAAATTCGTCTCTGGCATTAGTTCACATTCATAATGACTTCAGTATCATGGATACCGCATGATACTAGCTCTCGGCTAAAGATTAACACCTTACGGTAGTTTGAGTGTTAGAAGGAACATTTAACAAGTTAAATGAAAATCACTCACAGGAATATTAAGATCTTAATTAGAATATTACTAGTAATATGACAGCAAGAAACATAATTATAACAGGAAAGTTGAAGACCTGTTGAAGGACAGTGAAATATGCTAACTTCTAACGGTGACTCCAATCGAATAAATTCACTCTGAAGAAGTGGCTTATATTAAGTCACGAAACCTCAGGAATACAGGTTTTCTACTCATTGGGATATTAAAAAATATTTTTCTTATTAACTTTCTACCAATTGCTCAATTTATGTGAAGCTACGATGTCCAATCTTGGCATTGATACCTATAAATTTCAAATCGTAAGATTTTCTGCAAAAAAACTCTCCAAAGAAAGATATTATTGACAATGTAAGATTCAATGGACCCATTCTTTTCCAATTCCATAGAAGACTGAAACCAAATAAACTAGATAACACCACACAACTAATTATATAATTTAAAGAAAATCCAAACAACAATTCATTTACTTGATATTGAATCAAGCGATTGCAAGTTTCGCGCACCTTAAAAGATACAGAATAGTAAAATCTATTACTGGTAAGATTAGAATGGGTTTTGTGGAGATTTCAGTATTTTCATAGTTGAAATCATGAGTCAGTTGAAGTTAGACCACCATCGAAAACCTGAAAGCACTAGACGGCCGTTTTGTTGCATTATGGGACTCCTCAGCAGTGCGCATCCAAGATCCCGTCTCGCGATCTTCGAACCCAGAATCTACCAGTTTCGCTCCGGAGCACTTAACCGCTAGACTACTGAGCCGGCATCCACTGAAGACAATTGGTGAACACTTGTTCAAATATCGTAGATTGGTTGAAGTTATACATTTACACCGTTGAATACCAGCCGGCTCAGTGGTCTATCGGTCAAGTGCTCTGGCGTAAGACTCATGGGTCCTGGGTTCGAATCTCGCGAATGCGGGACCGTATATGCACACTGTTTAGGAGTCCCATAATGCGGCGAAATGGCTGCCAAATGCTTTCAGGTTTTCCATTGTGGTCTAACTTCAATTGACTAATGATTTTAACTATGAAAATATATCTAATGATTTTCATTTGCTATTCATTAATCTTATTGATTCTTTTCTTTTCAATTAAGTTTTCACGCATTCCTTAACGTGATATTAAAAAAAATTGAAATATTCAAACAATGTATTGGCTCTATTTTCAACATTCCTATCATTCTAGGAATGATTACTATAATTAATTTGATCATTATTTTAAATATTAATATGTGTATGTGTGTATCTGCAAGAGAAAGAGAAAAAGAAAAGAAAGTACACAAATTCTTTCACGTCACACATATTAAGATGAACATATCGTCACAGAGACTATCATATGAATGGTAGTATAATGTCACTCATAGTAACTGAAATGACATGTAATTTTGTTAGTCAAGTCATGTTTCCAGGGTGATGGAGTTGAAAGTGATAAAAATGATGAAATTATTTTTTTGTTTTGACTGTTTTCAAACAAAACCCTACTTGAAATTATCCACTTCAGTGTACTGTATATACTTTTTTTGTATATATTATGCAAAATATTTTTTAAAAAAAAAAGAAAGCTAGGGGCGGCCAGACCAAAACGTGGCACAAATTCATGAAGTCGCTGACAAGTGGATTGAGCCATGTTAGTAGATGTAGACTATCTGGTTGAGATGATAGCAATCGATGGTTAGAGACCTTGAATGACATGACTAAAAATCGTTTACCATGACGTAGGTGCATCCACTCTTTGTGTTCTCCCGAATTCTAATTTTCTGAATTCTTCATGTTTCTATCCTTTTTCTCTTTTTAAATTTATTTCACTATATTATACTTCTTCAATAATATTTTCAAACCCTAGTATTTCGGATTACTGCTTATACTCTAATTACCTCTACCACTATGGGATTTGAATGGACAACTGGATCTCTGTGCTAATGTGGTATGGCAAATCGAACTGATGTACGTACGTACGAAGTTCTACGTTGTTACTAACTTTTGTATATATTGAAGTTCGTATTTTCTTTAAGATAACAAATTGTATCTAGTTGTATATTTATCAATAAACAGGAAGAAATAATCTTGGTTTGAACCTTTTTAACATTAATATCTAGTAACAACCAAACAAACGGATTTCTATTACAGATATCATTCTCAACAGAGTGGAATTATAGGATATTGAGGTCAATATTGGACAGTTTTATGTATTCGATCATATTCAATCTTCGTAGTTGGAATCATGAGTCGATCTAAGTTAGACCACCGTCACAAACCTGAGAGCACCAGACGGCTGTTTCGTCCTAGTATGGGACTCCCCGGATGTTGGCATCCACGATCCCTTACGCGGACCTGAGCGATCACTTAATATTTAGACCACCAGTCCGGTATCCAACGGTTTTAATGTCTAACTTTAATCAATCCATGATCTTGCGCAACCATTATCAATTATCTGGGTGGATAACTGTTTCACACCCGACACGAATTGGACTACACAAGTCACGGCTTTTCACTAAAACTCCAGAAGTTACTTATTGAAGCTTAGATCGATTGGTGATTTGAACCGTGAAAATACTACAATCTCCACAAATCCACATACTGATAATAATATTCAATTTGTCAAATAACACACTCTCTCTTCTAATATTTGTTAATACTAAAGTACTGAATGTAGAATTTTCTTTTGCATTAACAGTTTTGTGGTGATTTTTATATAAACAGAGAAGGGATGTGTTGAGTTTTAGTCGATTTTCATCTATTTCCTATTGATGATTAGATGTACATACTAATGAGCTTTAATTTTTGATAAATAATAATAAGTATTTTATTATTATTATTATTATTATTATTATTATTATTATTATTATTACCTTTTCGGTTATCGCAAACGGACATTCATCCACTTTATCTATCCCTTCACCCCCAAATGCCCTGGTATGGCCAAGAGTGGGGAGAGTCCTCTATCCCTCTCCAAACGCTCTCACATGGCCATAAGTATATAGCCTCTGTACAGGGAAGTCCTACTTAATACGTTCTCGTGGAGGGGGTGTTGTTTACGAAATTGAGAGGACGAAAAGTGAATACATGGCGATTTAACCGGGTTGGTGGACACGGAGAGTCCACCTAGGGGAGTTGAAAAACCCTGATTCCAAACCAATGGTGTACATGGGATCCAGTATCCTGAATGAACAAATGGTGTATGAACCAATTGTTGGTCACCGGCTACCATGGGACTGCTTATCCTCACGATGCTCCACTGCCTTGTGGATTGGACCTTTAGGTCAAAGGCTTCGGGTGTGATTCCTTAAGAAAACCACCTGCTTTAGTTTGGGCACCTGGATAGTATAACAGCTTTCACACAAATCAAATGAGATTTGTCAGGCGCATATTTATCTTGTGCTTCCTTGTACCAATATTTATGTGTTTAAATTAATGAATAAAATAAAATCTATCCCTTTAATTCCCAGTACAATGTGTTCATTGATCTGTCATTCATCACCTTCTATTCAGGATTCCAAGTTAGGCCTTATTTTACGATGACGGTCATATAATTCCAATATAAACATTAAAAACACAAAGTTCATTGAAGGGATTTATTTTTTCAGCAAATTTATGTTTATTACAATATATCATTCTTTTATTCACCGTTCCTGCTTCAATTCAGGCATCCACACAGTTTCTGCTGTTTCTAACCAGTTAAAAACACAAGAATATTAGTAGATTTGAACGAATTCTATAAATAAATTATCCCATAAATAAACTTGTGAATCAGTGGAGTGATTCAAATTGATTAAATTCTCACAGATCCAAATCATTACGGCATTTTCCTCACCCTTTTAGAACCACACTGAAACATGTTCTTGTATCTGAGTTGAAAGCAAGATCTGACTACGTTCTATGTACCTTACTTCATAAAATCAGGTACACTGCAGGATTCACATAGAGGCGACCAGATCAGAGGACTCATCATTTATGGATATGGAAAACAAATTTCAATTGGTAATCGTTGATCTCAGCTATGGAGTATAGGACGTCCTTCTTACAGTTATCGACAGACGAATATACCTTTTTCAGAATTTATGACTCAGTATCTCCTTTAAACTGGATGATCATGAAGAGAGTGTTATTTGATGATATACATTCTCTCTCACACTTGGTTTGAGGTTTTCTCCAATCAATCTAGGTGGATGTCCATTGTTGTTCAGCATCTACGATATTTCAACATCGATGAAATCCTTGGTACAGATTCGTCCAACCATTGTTCATAGAGAATGGATCAGGTTTCTCTTTCGCTTCATTAGTATTAAGTTTAAAATCCATATATTGGTCATTCCAGGTTTTATATTACGAACGAGCAACCTATTGATTGGTCAGTTACTCGACATAACAAAACATAGAATCATCTCCCTCCCTCAGTTATTCTTACATACATAAATGTATAGTCACTATTCAATCAAAAACAATCAGAGTTTATCTACATTACGCGTTTCAGTCAACTCTATGAATCTAAGTTCATTTTATATTTTAAGATTATCAGAATTTACATTCCAATTTTCGTTAGTAGATACTACTATTACTACTACTACTACTACTACTACTACTACTACTACTACTACTACTACTACTACTACTACTACTACTACTACTACTACTACTACTACTACTACTACTACTACTACTACTACTACTACTACTACTACTACTACTACTACTACTACTACTACTACTACTACTACTACTACTACTACTACTACTACTACTACTACTACTACTACTACTACTACTACTACTACTACTACTACTACTACTACTACTACTACTACTACTACTACTACTACTACTACTACTACTACTACTACTACTACTACTACTACTACTACTACTACTACTACTACTACTACTACTACTACTACTACTACTACTACTACTACTACTACTACTACTACTACTACTACTACTACTACTACTACTACTACTACTACTACTACTACTACTACTACTACTACTACTACTACTACTACTACTACTACTACTACTACTACTACTACTACTACTACTACTACTACTACTACTACTACTACTACTACTACTACTACTACTACTACTACTACTACTACTACTACTACTACTACGAATAATAATAATAATAATAATAAATTCGTGCTTCAGGTGCTTCAGTGCTTCCAGGTTTTCGATGGTGGTCTAGCTTCAATTGACCCATGATTTCAACTATGAAAATACTAAATTCTCCACAAAACCCCCTATGATCAATAAATTAGTTGTTCAGTAATTCTTCTACTCGTTATTGCGTAGTTCTTCCTCCCTGCATATATCTCTCTCTCCCACTTTAATCCATTCAAACAAGTCACTTATTCTCAATCACTAAATCACTTTTATTCTCACATCATTTTCTTCTTACTCTTCTTCTCCTCCTAATCAGTTTTTTCCTCTGTTGCTCCCTACATTATTCTTTTTCTCTATATGGAAAAATCGACCATCTTCTTGTTCAACGGTACGATTTACAGATATGTTTGTTGTATGTTTATGGAGGGAGGGGGCGAGACTGATGCATTTTAACAAAAGAGGATTTAGGTTATAATGTCATTTCGGAGTAGGAAATATGTTCACAGAAAAAAATATATATAAGATATTTATAGTTGATTGATCGGTGTTTAGTGGCTTATAGTATGTCATATAGGCCTTAGTGACGAATCACTAATCAATATTTCAGTTCTATACAATGTTATTCACAACATGTACAGCTCAGTGGTAGCTTCTCATACTATGAAACTGGATGATGACTGTTTGAATCCTACAGGGAACATTAGATCCTACATAGTATGTATAAAATGTTGTAGACTATTTACTAACCATTTACTTATGTACTTTGTTTGGAATCCGACTTTCTTATGTATGATTCTAACTAGCTCCACAAACTTGGAAATAGATATTGTTGCTTTCTACTGTTAAACTTAACATTTGATAATCAAATATTATGACACCTAGGCCACTATTTTACTCACAATGTTCACATATATTATTGCATATTGATTAAAAATTAAGAGGAATTGAGTAAACTTGTAAACGTGAACATTTTGAATCCTACAGTCCCACTCTAAGACCTCCCTAACTAGGTATACAAATTGAGGAGAATAAGAGTGAGTAGAAAGTTTTAATGCCAAAAGCAAAATAAATACATTTATAAGCTATACATACATACATACATACATGACATCAGATTAATCCCGACGAAAGTATGTGAGTAGTGACTCAGTTCATATGATTAATCCACACTGTCATAATAACCCTTCACAAACTCCCAGTTTTCAGTCATCATGCATCCTAGTAATGGTATGTGATTTGTCTAGTCCTGAAGTAACATGTAATCTGTATGAACTCGTCTGGTTTAGCAACTCCGCCTCTGAGAATTAGGGCTTCCTCTTCGAATTTACTTGTACTGACAAGGGTGAGATTCTTTATCCTTTTGATCCTCTTGTAGTCTGAGTGTTAAGTCTGATATTGTGGATTAGTTGTTTTGGAATAAAATTATCAAAAATGCAGTCTAAAAATTACTTAAACATAGACGCTGTTTCAGATGCCACATTATCTAGGATACATGTCGTCGATAAATCAGATTAAGCACTTCACTTGAACATTCCCTTCGTAGATCGTAGCTCTAACTCTCTTCATATTTAAAATCCCTACAGGCAATAAACACTTAAACAATCCACAGTAATTGATAGTCGTATATCATGAACTGGTTATATTTTAAAAATTTGGAGCATTGAATTCTAAGTCACTGGTTCAACTTCTAGATTCCAATGCAATGTAATAATTTGTTTAAGTCAGAGGATTTTCAGCTCCAATTAACAAATACCATCAATTCAGAATAAGATTGAGTACCACGAAGTTGAAGTGATTGGAAGCAAAACAACACTCATGAACTCATAAATATTCTTAAGACAGGAGGTGAATGAAAACTGTTGAATTCTACAGTTTGTATCGTGAATTTATTATAGTTAGACAACCGGTGAAAATAAAGAAATCACTAGACAGCTGTTTCCTCTGGGTACTTTTTGGTTTTTAGTGGTTGTCAAAGTATAAGTAGTTAGTCGTTTAAACTAGATAATTCAACGATCACCACAATCCCACCATAGTAGCAGTGAACACTAGTAACTAATTTTGAGATATAATTCCTGGAATTATAGTGAGAATCAATGACCAATGTTATTCAACCTTGTTTAGTATGAGGCAGTTACCCACCAGTGACATTGGCAGATGATTGGGTAATATTATGAGTCGAGTGAAGTCAAAATTATAAAGCATTGGATATCATGACAGTTATTTTAAAGTTAAGCGCTAACCACGAAACCTGAAGGTTCTGGTTACACAGTACTGAAAAGTCCCATACTAGGACGAAACAATTCTCCCTGCTTTCAATTATTATGCAAGATCAGTTCCAGATATAAATACGAGAGATCGATGCATGAAATTCTGATTCAATCATCAGTCAACTGTATCGTTATACAATCTGATGAGTCGCATTCGCCAACAGATTGGGTCGATCATATAATATAGACTAGAAAAAAAGTGGTTTTGTGGAGATTTAGTATTTTCATAGTTGAAAACGTGAGTCAATTAAAGCTAGACAACCATGGAAAACCTGGAAGCACTGGACGGCCGTTTTGTCTTATTGTGGGACTCCTGAGCAGTGCGCATCCACGATCCCGCACTCACGAGATCCGAACGACTGACTTCGAGAGATAAATTCAGGAGTTCTTGTGAGAAGCAGTGACCAGTGGAGTCTAAACCACGTCTGTCGTGAGATATCAACTCACTGAAGACAATTGGTGAACGGTTGCTCAACTTCATGGATTGGTTGAAGTTAGACATTAACACTATCAGATGCCGGCCATCTCAGTGGTTTATCGGTTAAGTGCTCGCGCCCGAGATTGGTAGATCCTGGGTTCGAATCTTGCGAGTGCGGGATTGTGGATGCGCGCTGCTGAAGAGTCTCACAACAGGACGAAACGACTGTCCAGTGCTTCCAGGTTTTCCATGTTGGTCTAGCTTCAATTGACTCATGCTTTCAACTATAGAAAAAAAACGTGTTGTTCTAAAGATGAATAAATTAACCTTCACATCGATTTACTTTATTTATCTTACCATAGAAAACTCTCTAATTCTAGTCCAACTTTCCCCTATCATTTTTTTCTATACACTGATTTTAACCAATCTGGATAGTTTTTTTTTGTTTTTCAGAAGAGAAGGCAAAAACTAAATTCGTTTATTTTTTTTCTTGTTGTAAAATATCAATACCTTAAAAATTGATTTTTCCCTTATTTCTTCATTCATTCATTGTTAAAAGGAAACTAAGTGAATAGGATGGTGGTGATTTTAATAGTAATGGATAATAGAAAGAGTAACAAGATGAATATTCAAATGGATAGATAGAGAGAGAGATGGATGGATGAATGGATGGATGAATGGATGGATGGATGGAAACACAACTAAATATTCAAACAAGAGGGGTTGTTGTTCTATGTCCAATAACTAATACAAAAGCAACAACAATAAATAAATAAATAATGACGTGATCTATTGAATAACTTTAATCTAGTTAAAAGACTTAGTTGTAATACTTTTGACGTAGGCGAAAGTGTCTAGGAATGAAAATTTCCGCTTCTCTATAATGGTTACTGTGTGTGTGTATATAGTGTATCAAGTTATCAGCCGATGAATGCATAAATTAAATGAATTAAATATGAATATTCTAATGAGATTCATTCAATCTTAAATGCTAATAATTATTGATTAAATTGTTTTTTTGTAAATGGTAAAGATAATTTTGGAATTTTCTTGATGATTCTAGCTTATTTATTAAATATACAATTTTATTGAGGTAAGGTGGTGGTTGGAGGTGGTCAACAGGAAACCCTGGACCCGGGTTTCATGCTACTTGGCACTCGTCAGCAAGATGTACCTGTAATCTTTGAGGGAACTGATTCTCCCTGGAGGATTCGATCCCGTGTCAAAGTCAGAGACGTTATCACTGAGCTATTCGGGCCGCGACCAACCTCCTGCAGGACTGAGATGTAACCACAATTGATTGACCACTGGGTCGTGATCAATGTCATGCATGTCAAGTCCTTCTTATTGCTGATCGAATACTTACTTACTTCTCATTGTATTATCGAAATTTATCAAAGGGACTAATTGTTTTAAAAACTTACTTACTTACTTACTTACTTACTTACTTACTTACTTACTTACTTACTTACTTACTTACTTACTTACTTACTTACTTACTTACTTACTTACTTACTTACTTACTTACTTACTTACTTACTTACTTACTTACTTACTTACTTACTTACTTACTTACTTACTTACTTACTTACTTACTTACTTACTTACTTACTTACTTACTTACTTACTTACTTACTTACTTACTTACTTACTTACTTACTTACTTACTTACTTACTTACTTACTTACTTACTTACTTACTTACTTACTTACTTACTTACTTACTTACTTACTTACTTACTTACTTACTTACTTACTTACTTACTTACTTACTTACTTACTTACTTACTTACTTACTTACTTACTTAATTACTTACTTACTTACTTACTTACTTACTTACTTACTTACTTACTTACTTACTTACTTACTTACTTACTTACTTACTTACTTACTTACTTACTTACTTACTTACTTACTTACTTACTTACTTACTTACTTACTTACTTACTTACTTACTTACTTACTTACTTACTTACTTACTTACTTACTTACTTACTTACTTACTTACTTACTTACTTACTTACTTACTTACTTACTTACTTACTTACTTACTTACTTACTTACTTACTTACTTACTTACTTACTTACTTACTTACTTACTTACTTACTTACTTACTTACTTACTTACTTACTTACTTACTTACTTACTTACTTACTTACTTACTTACTTACTTACTTACTTACTTACTTACTTACTTACTTACTTACTTACTTACTTACTTACTTACTTACTTACTTACTTACTTACTTACTTACTTACTTACTTACTTACTTACTTACTTACTTACTTACTTACTTACTTACTTACTTACTTACTTACTTACTTACTTACTTACTTACTTACTTACTTACTTACTTACTTACTTACTTACTTACTTAGTACTTGAATGACTTGACTGAATTTCATGTAATGGGATTCGAATCAACAATCTAAAAGTTATATTGAGAGCCAGTGATATCTTGGGAAATTTTTTAGATGATGGGATAATGCTGAAAATATATTGATCAAAAGGACAAATTAGAAACTTATAGGAAAATTCTGAAAAAAAGACGGATTGTATTTTCATTCCTTGGATGAACAAATATCGATTTTATGTAGCTGAGATCATGAGTCAATTGAAGTTACCTGAAAGCACTGAACGGTCGTTTCATCCTATTGAGGAACTCCTCAGCAGTGCGCATCCACGATCTCGCCTCACGAGATTCGAACCCAGGACCTACCAATCTCGCGCACGAGAACTTAACCGATAGACCATTGAGATGGCCGGCATCTGATAGTGTTAATGTCTAACTTCAACCATTCCACGAAATTGACTCATGATCTCAACTATATAGAATTACTAAAATCT